CTCCAGAGACCCTTACAAACTAGCACCATCTCAGTGACCATTGACATGTTTGATTTTTCACTAATGTAACATATCACATTATCAAACACGATGTAAAATTTAAAGCAAAAAAAAGAAATCTCTTTTGTTGTTCGGCCTTGCATGACTAATTGACCATAAAGCAGTCTCAGAATGAACTGCAAGTAAGTGTCAGAGATAGTAGGAACTGCAGATGCTGGAGAATCTGAGATAACAAGGTGTAGAGCTGGATGAACACAGCAGGCCTAGCAGCATCAGAGGAGCAGGAAGGCTGACGTTTCGGGCCTAGACCCTTCTTCTTGTTATCTGCTAATAAGTGTCTTTCTCTTAAACGAGACTTAGACACATAGGTCTGACTTTCTGTTCCTGTGTTGGGAGCACATAGTTAGGAGCTGGCTCTGCAAATTCATCTCAGGAAGTAATATCCCAGAACTCTGGAATGGGTGGAAGGCCTGACTTGGCATGCCGGCCCATTATTGAAGCAATGGTAAAGGAATTGTTGGGATTCATAACCCTAAGATAATGCTTTAGGGATGTTGGCATGAAGTCCTCCCCACTCTTTGACAGATGGTGAAATTTGAATGATGAAATATCTGGAATTAAAAGCTGATCTAACGGCAATCATAAAACCATTGTAAAATCCCTTTAGGTTCACTAATGTCTTTTAGGGAAGGAAATCTGCTGTCCTTATCCTGTCTGGCCAACATGTGACTCCAGATCCAAAGCAATATGGTTAATTCTTAATGCCCTCTGAAATGGCCTTGACAGCCAATTAGTTTTTAACAAATTTTTTCACAGGATGTGGGTGCTACTGACTAGGCCAACATTTATTGCCCATCCCTAATTACCCAGATGGCAGTTAGGTGAAGTTAAAGGGGCACCTGGGGATGTGCGACAAATATTCACCTTGCCCTCATCGCATACAATAAAAAAGCAAACTACAGCCCTCACCTCTCATCCCCTTCTACACACTCCCTATGCCTCATCCATCCACTAATGCCCCTTTACCCACTTTCCATGGCCCATTAAACACTCCATGCCAATACATAACCCTATCCACTCATGTGGTGCTTGATACACTCCATGCTAACCTATGCCCTGTAAACCCAATGGCTCTTTATAGCTCCAATTTATAGCCATCACATACACCCTACCCACCACTCTTTGTCTTTGCACCTATAATGTCACATCACCCAGTGTTCACAAAGGCCAGATCTCAGGAACCATTCTGATGTTAAATCAAGTTCATTTGTTCCCTATCTAAAATAAACACCTTTATTGATAAAACCCACTCACTATATTTACCTTTCTTTAATGCCTTATGAATTCAAGCATTGGAATTCATAGTCCCACTTCAAAGAATTTATAATCGTTTGGACCTGTCAATCAAATTGCAAAGTGACAGGCACCGAATATGATAATGAATCGTTGCGAAATCAAATAAGCATGCCAATCTGTCACGATTGTCTTCAATCTTATGTTAACAGAGTGAATAGCAAGCTCTGATTTATTTTAATACTGCAGACAGTTTTGAAACGAATATTTAAATGGTAGGAGATTCAAATGCTTTGACAGATTGAGAGACCTGTCTGACAACTTCTTTTTTCAACAGTTCTCTGTTAAAAGAAGATGAGCAACGAGGTGAACTATCACTACCTGAATGTATCATGAAGGAGGTGAAGACAGGAGATTGGGTATTGATTTTGAGGGAAGTTTCCAATGGATTTGAATATGACATGCTTGTCGTAGTTGAATGGAAAATGCTAAGGAATCTAAGATTTAATGGAGAAAGTTATTTATTACTTCCAAATAGATGTCAACATGGATTAACATTTACTGGCACATTTGGATTCTGTACAAATTGCGCATAGTTGGACCCTAAGGTCCCAACAGCAACACCTTGCAGTTAAATAGCGCATTAATGTCCCAAGGTGTTACTAAGCATCTTTCTTATTTATCAACTTTTGAACCTGGATCCTGAGTGACCTGAACAGAATCAATTGAGAACAGCATATGTTTCTAAAAAGGGTCAGTATTAAAAGGTCTTTAGCCTCTGAGTCCAGTGGTGAGCTACTTAATCGTTCGAATGCTTAAATTTGGCTAGTCTCTGCTTACAAAGGCAACAGTTAATAATCACAGGAAAACCAACATTTTGACTACCATCCAGTGACCTTTACCCAAGTGATCTCACACATGGCTGTCTATTCTTCCTTGTGATCATTTTCCTATCATATTTCATTAATGAATAATGGTGATTTGGGCAAAGAATGTGCCCATAGAATTGTATCCCCAGCATGGATTTAACCACACACAGAGGAGAAAATTCACAAGGTAGTGTTGAAATGAAACTAATATGCTGATTTCTTAGATCTAAGCATCCAAAACCAATAAGATTTGAGTTCATCCAATTAGAAACTCTTTTAACACTGATTCTTGGGATGCAAAACTCTATCAGATAAATGTATTCTTTTTTACTCTGAAACAACTCTAAAATTTATTACTCTGTAAGACTTGTACCTAGGCACTTGTACTTAAAATGGTGCCATTAAAGGCAGCCATTGTAAAAACTTTTCACTGTACTTCTGTACTGGAGTAAATGTGACAATAAAGGATATTCTAGCCCATATGCTATTCTATGGCAGCAGAGTAGGACGTTCTGGTCGGAGCTCCTCTGCTCACATATTTTCCCTCTTTTCTTTCCTCTCTTTTTTTCCATTTCTCCACCACCCCCCCTGCCGCTACCCGCCCCCCCCCACCGACTCCCATGTGTGGAGATGTGGAGCGAGCGGGCCGAGACCTGCAGCAGGCCAGAGTGAGTGGGCCAAGACCCATGGAGAACCGCAGTGAGCAGCACGGCCTTGCACTTGGGGGCCTGCAGGCATGCCCCATGAGTGCCAGAACACCGTGAGCAATGAGCCCTGGAGCAGCATATGGGCCACGAGCCCGGAGTAGCGCGGGGAAGAAGCCCTGCAGCAGTACATGGGAAGCAGCCTCTGGAGCAGGACGCAGGCAGCAAGTCTTGGACCGAGACTGGTGTGAGAGGACAATCCTTACCTAAGAACACTGTAATGTTAAACTCTTAATATACCCCTTAATATATTCCTATTTCTTAACTTATTTTCAATTATGTAATTACGCAACTACTTTTATCCTTCTGCTGTATCCAAGAATTGTACCTAGGTACTTGGAACTCAGATGTTGCCATTAGTAGACAGACATTGTAGAAGTTTTTCACTGTACTCCTCCAATGGGGGATACATGACAATAAAAGGATATTGTATTCTAAACCAGGCCAATCAATTGTCCAAATGCTGCTGTAATTCTGATACAGATGATAGCTCCTCACATGTTGTTGCAAAACATTTTGCAATGTTCAGTTAATCTGCTGCTCGGATCCTCAGTTCTTAATTGCTGGAATGTTGAAATAAATTAGAAATTGTCCTGCAGAAAGCCCAATCAAGACATGAGAATCTCATCACATTGACCTCAACAAGGCTCTGTTGAACATCTGACGCATTATTCCAATGATAAATGTTCAGCTGAGCATGGAAGTTTCCATAGTGATGTTCAGAGATGTTTAGGAGAGTTCTCCTGGTGTGCTGGCTAATGATTACCAGTCATCTCATCACAGAAACAGATTATCTAGCCCTTTTCCTCATTTGCTGTTTCTGGCACCTTGCAGGTCAAGCCCCTACTGGCTGCCACATTTGCATTCCAAACGTCAGTGGGTATAGTTCAAAACAATCCTTCAACTGCAAATTACTTTCTGGTTATCTTGAGAATCTGAAAGCGACCACACAAGTGTGAATTCCTTTTTTGTTGTCATATGAAAACTGTTGTATGGCCAATTGCCTATATTGCATATATATGCATAGACCTTCTTTCTTGAATCAGAAAATGTGCCTAAGTAAAATCACTTCCTGACAGTGGATTTATCTTTTTGACAAGAGGAATGTGTTGCTTCAGGATTATCTTTCAGACAATACGATATCTGAGTTTTTGAATTTTGTTCACTGTGCACTTTCTTATGCAATTTAATTTTAGTTTTTTCTTCTTTTTCATTGAAGATTGGGCTAGTTTAATTGTAAAACCAATGGCAAATATTGTATAATTCCCCATCAACAAAGGACATTAGCGTAATCAGCTATCTTTGGAGAACAATGTATGTGTCTCAAACAATTGGAAACAGAAGGTAGTCAAAAAATAAAAGGGACATGATGCAGAAACCTATTCCTCACGTGAGAAATATTTCTGCTATTAGTCACATTCATCTGTGATCATTTTGGATTGTTCAATATAAGAATAGCTCACAAAAATCTAGCAGTGCTCTTAACAAGACAGACAATGTTACTGAGATCCAGAGAGCCAAGATAATGCTCTGGGGACCACGGTTTGAATGCCACCACAGCAGATAGTGCAATTGGAATTCAATTACGAACAAAAGAAAATTAAAAGCTAGCCTAATGGCAAGCATTTAACCATTGTCAATTGTCATAAAAACCATCCCAGTTCACTAATGTCCTTTAGGGAAGCAAATCTGCTGTCCTTGCCTGGTCTGGCCTACATGTGACTCCAGACACACAGCAATGTGGTTGACTCTGACTGCCCTCTCAAGTGGTTGAACAAGCCACTCATTTGAAGGGGAAATCAGGGATATGCAAGAAATGTAGGTCCAGCAGTGATTGCACAAATGAATAAAAATAACGATCACCCCGAGAATTTTTGCTGAGTTTGTTTTAGGAAGGGACATAAATTCCCAATCATGTAAATGGTAGAATTAAGCTTGCTGTCAGTTCGCTGAAGGATTTATCCGAGAAAGCTGCTTCAACTCTGCTTGAAGGCAATGAGTCATCGGATTAAAATCTTAGCGGCTGTTGGTTCCTCTGTCCAGCCCCAGGCGTTGTCCACTGGTCATCACAATGCTCCCTCTGGAATAACATTAATATTTACTTCAGAAAAATCAACTCCGTTATTGTGCTATAATGAAGTATGTAGAAATATGCCAGGAAGCCATTTTTCTCGCTGTGACATATATCTCCTTACGTAAGTAAATCTTATCTGGTTATATATATTAAAAATAAGGTCTGAATAGAATGATCAAAACTGTGTAATCCTCAATAATCCTCAGTGTAATTCTCACGTACGTCGGATACTGTATCATCCAAATACTCATTTCAAATAATAGCATCAATTTCTTTGAGTGAATAATTTAATGTATTTTAGCTTTTGGTAACTAGTTTGGTGACTTTAGTAGACATTTCATAATCCTATTTGTTGTTATCTGACCATTGTCAAACTTGTGATGTTTTACCAACCCTATTGTTTCCTTACTATGTGTCTCTGTTCCCCATTTCAGTCAGTAAGTACTATCAGAACTATTCAATGTGATAAATTCTGCCATTATTTTCATAGTTTTATTTGTGATTAAATTGACCCAATTAGCTAACGCTTCCATACAGAGACATGAAACTGCTCCCATATTGACCATGTTTGCTTTTGAATAAAATCCATGAACCATTAGGTTTTGGTACGGTATTTATAAATAATTTAGAATTATCGTTTTGAATAAGCAGATTTTGCTGTAGCCTAACACATTTGATGATTTCTAAGTTTTGGACAACCCGACACAGACTTTCATTTTCCTCTTAGTTCAAGCAGATTACGCTCCTTACTTCTATGACAATGCACCAAACAGCACCAATGGGAACATGGCTATGTTGAGCATTCCTGAAGATACACCTATAGGTATGTGTTTGAGATAACTCTTTGATACTCAAAGGTAACTTTTGCAAAGCTTGTTCCAAATATGTAGTCTCATTAACGAGTGTGATATGTGGGATTCATAATTCATGATGCCCCCAGTTTTCAGGTTATTACAACAGATCTTGAGAAATCAGGAATGAGTTCCCTGTGCCGAATTCTCTGATAATAACTGCTGACTACAACAGGTTCCATCTGGGAATGTCATTCACACTCATAGACGCTGCCAGATTTGCACTTAGCCAGTAACTGTGAAGCGTATCAGCCCATACTGTCTCTGCATTGCAACACCAGGAGCAGGAATATGCCATTCAGTTCCTTCAGGCCAGTCTGCCATTCTAGATCATGGCTGATCATTTCCTGCACTATTCCCATATCTTTTGATGTTATTAGGTACTTGAAATCTATCAATCATTGTCTTGAGCTTACTTGACGACTAAAATTCCACAGTCCTGTGGGGAGAGAAGGGCTAAACATTCATCATCCTCTGAAGAAGGCACTCTTCCTCAATGATTTGTCTTTCATTCTGAGGCACTGTCTCCTCATTCCAGACTCTACGCTAAGGCGAAAAGTTCTTTCTGCATCTACTCTGTCTATCCCCTTGAGAATTTTGTAAGTTTCTATGAGGGAGCCTCTCATTCTTCTGAACTGCAGAGAATATAAATGATTTGTATATAAATGTAGGAGAAATGGTTAGTAAGTAGACAGTATAGTGAAGAAGGCATTTGGTACAGTTACCATCATTGGTCAGTACATTGGGTATAGTAGTTGGCCCGGCACGGTGGCTCAGTGGTTAGCAGTGCTGCCTCACAGCGCCAGGGATCGATCCCAGCTTCAGGCAACTGTCTGTGTGGAGTTTGCACGTTCTCCCTGTGTCTGCGTGGGTTTCCACTGGGTGCTCCAGTTTCCTCCCACAGTCTAAAGATGTGCAGGGTAGGTGGATTGGCCATGCTAAATTGCCCATAGTGCCCAGGGATGTTTAGGTTAGGTGGGTTGGACTAGGGGAATGGGTCTGGGTGGGATGCTGTTCAGAGGGGTGGTGTGGACTTGTTGGACTGAATGGCCTGTTTCCACACTGTAGGAATTCTATGATGGGATGTCATGTTGCAACTGTACAGAATATTGGTGAGGCCACTTTTGGAATGTTGTGTTCAATTCTGGTATCCCTGCTATTGGAATGATGTTGTTAAACTTGAAAGGGTGCAGGAAAGGTTTACAAGAGTGTTGCCGGTGTTAGAGGGTTTGGAGAAGTTGAATAGGCTGGGGCTATTTTCCCTGGAGCGTCAGGGGCATGCATAGGGTGGATAGCCAAGATCTTTTTCCCAGGATGGGGGAGTCCAAAACTGGAGGCATAGGTTTAAGGTGAGATGGGAAAGATATAAAAGAGACCTTAGGGGCAACATTTTCATGCAGAGGGTGATATGTGTATGCAATGAGCTGCCAGAGGAAATAATGGAGGCTGGTACAATTACAACATTTAAAAGGCATCTGGATGGGTATATGAATAGGAAGAGTTCTGAGGGATATAGGCCAAATGCTGTCAAATGAGACTAGATTAACTCTCCTTAATATCGGCACATTCAGACAATGAAGGCCATCAGTTTAACTGGGACAAGGTGACTATAATAGCCCAAGCCAAACATAGACATGCACAGGAATTCCTAGAGGCATAGTTCTCCACCTATACTTCAGTGAACAAACATATAGAATTGGACTCCATTTACAAACCCATACAGATCAAAACTGGAAATGACAGTACTCACCATAACGGACCAGACAGTATAAATTCCAAGCAGAGTAAAATAATACCACTTCATCAGAGGCTCCACTGATGATGTCACCTAGCATGGTGACAAAACGTCTGCACAAAAACAAGCCAGCTCGGCGAGCAAGTCAACAACTCATTTTGATCCAATAGCAGTGCAGGAATGGCAATATTGTTTCAAGTCAAGATGGTATGGAGCTTGAATGGGAACAAGGGTTTTGCTATTTAATTCCATCTGCTGTCCTTGTTGTATCTTTATCTATATCATAGAGTGGCTTTGGAAAATGCTGTTTTGGTGTATTACAATGTCCAACTCAGCAGTAGATTTTTCTATCCCACATCAAATCTTTGAGTCATTTTATAGTAGAACACATAAAGAGGCCACTCAGCCCTTACGCTTGGACTGGCTGTTTGAAAGAACCAATCAACTCATCCTACTCCCTTGCTCTTACAATGTATTGAAATTTGTGTTGTGCAATTTGTCCACTTGAGGCTATCGTGCACATGTACCAACAAAGGAAGTCTGCTCTGAAGAGATAATATAAGATTCATGTTTAACCGCTCATGTAGAGTTCTATTTCTAAATGTTTGTGGCTGAGCATTGAATTGTTTCTGTCCCAAGAAATTCACATTTCCTTCCCAATAACTCTGTGAATATTTCCCATTCAAGTATTTATCCAATTCCTTTTTGCAAGTTACTTCCACCAAATTTTCAGTTAGTGTAACTCACTGCAAAAAACATTTCACCTTGCCTCATTTCTGGCTCTTTACCACTGATAGCTTGCCTCTCACCGTGCAATGAAATAAGTTATTCAGTCACCAGTTCATGTTCAGGATATATCTTTCATTACTTTGTTGGCCTCATGAATCCGGAATTGTAAAATGACTGAGCAATGAAATCATGATATTTAATGGTAGTGAGCCCTTTGTGAAGCATCATTTCTATTATTCCCTCAGTGTATGTCAGAAACTCGCTTTGTCTTCCTTCTTCAAACTAATTAAGGCCCTCAACAAAAGACCATAGGGGTGTTTATGGGAAAGAATAGCCAAATGAGATGCAAGTAGAACTCAATTGAAAAGCTGGTACTAGCACAGGGGCGATGGGCTGGGTATCCTCTTTTTAAATTGCAATTTCTACTATTTGTTAATTCTATAATAGCAATCAGTGTCCCCCACCATTGATATGACAAATATGACAGCAAAATAAAAAGGCATGTCTCCATTTCTGTCCTGGCTGGTATTTTCTTCAGATGGTGGACGATGCTGTATTCAAATTTGCATGCTCCACAGTTGTTTTGTTTTACAGAGCATTTTGTTTAAATATAGTATCGGACTCCATGGAAATCTGTGAAACAATAACGTGGCTTAGAGCTATGAATGTAACATTACATGGTCCATTCAGCAACTGATATGTTTGCCTCATGTCACCTTCTAAGTATTTTTTTCAAAGTGCTTAAAGGCTGATGAGTCAACGGCTTTATTTTTGGTGTATTGTTATTGTTTCCTCATTGTTCCAGGACAGCAAAAACACAGGCGTCTACTGGCAATGTAGAAAATTGCCTAGATATGTTCTGTCCACAAAACCAAGGAGAATTCCAACCCTGCCAATAATACCGTTTGATCATCAGCAAAGTAATGGGTGGGGTTATCAGCATTGCTAGCAAATGGCACATGCTCTGCAATAAACTGCAAACTAACACTCATCTTAGGCTTTGCTAGGGCCTACTTATCCCTCATAACAGCCTTGAAGCACTTCTCAAGGACATTTAAGGATGGGCAGTAAATGTTGGTTGAGCTAACAATACCCATATTCCGTGAACAAAGAAAAATCTGTAATGCATCTGATCCCTTTAGGTGCATGTTACACATGTTAAACAGAAGAACTAAAACATAATTGAATTAACAGACCCCGGTTGTATGTTGATATGAAAAAATTTGTTTTGTTGGTATAAACTCTAAATTTTTAACTTTTGTGTAGGATCACATCTGTACACTTTAAATGGCACAGATCCAGAGGGAAATTCAGTCACTTATGACATGACCTTTGAACCTGGAACAAAACACTATTTTGCAGTGGAACCTCAAACAGGAAATGTCACTTTGCTGGAGGAGCTGGACAGAGAGGTAAAGCTCTTTGCTGTTCTCTTTTACTATTATATTTGTTGTTTCAATGATGGTGGGAGCTGATCATTATTATAGAATTACTGAATTGTAGAAATTACAAACTAGGACAAAGGTATTCAGCCCATCGCTCCTGTGCTAGTATCAGCTTTTCAACATGTCCTACATGAATCCCATCTGCCTGTCATTTCCCTCGAACAAGGAGACCTTGGGATGCAGATACATAGCTCCTTGAAACTGGAGTCACAGGTAGACAGAGTGGTGAAGAAGACATTTGGCATGCTTGCCTTCATTGTGCATTGAGTGTAGGGGTTGGGACGTCATGTAAAGAACATTGGTGAGGCCACTTTTAGAATACTGCATTCGGTTCTGGTACCCCTGCTATAGGAAAGATGTTGTTAAACTTGAACGGGTGCAGAAAAGATTTACAAGGATGTTGCCAGGATTGGAGGGTTTGGAGAAGTTGAATAGGCTGGAGGGTGATAAAATCATGAGGGGCATGCATAGGGTGAATAGCCAAGGTTTTTTTCCCAGGGTAGGGGAGTCCAAATCTAGAGGGCATAGGTTTAAGATGGGGAAAGATATAAAAGCGACCTAAGGGGCAACGTTTACAGCAGAGGGTATATGGAATGAGCTGACAGAGGAAATGGTGAAGGCAGGTACAATTACAACATTTAAAAGGCATCTGGATAGGTACATAAATAGAAAGGGTTTAGAGGGCTTTGGGCCAAATGGGACTAGCTTAATTTAGGTTATCTGGTTGGCATGGCCGAGTTGGAATGAAGGGTTTGGTTCCATGCTGTACATCTCTATGATTCTATGATATCTGGTCAGCGAGGATGAGTTGGACCGAACGGTCTGTTTCTGTGCCAAGTTACTTTATGACTGTATGGCTCATGCTTTCCCTTGTTCCTTTTTATACACTTATCATAACTCATCCAAATTAATTCATTCTAAATTGATAATAAGGGTAAATTTCATACTTCCAGAATAGAGCCTCACTGGATGAGAACCTGAGTCAGATAAACAGAGTGACCGTGTTTACAGCCTCAAACTCCAACTAACAATGGCACCACCTTCTCTGAATTTGTCCTGTAGAGAGTAAATAGACTATCCCTGAAAGGGAGCATGGAGAATCAGGATATCAGATTAACTCATGCCCATTGATTGCCCATTGACTATTGAATCAGGACATATCTAGATTTTCAGATCAAGGAAGAAATTTCTCAAAGTATGGTTATAATGGTTGAAATTCCAAGCTAACAGGACACTTTTGTAATGTTGGCCATATTTTTCCTATTCAGGAATATTGAATATGTTGTTTTTGTTTTGCAGAAAGAAGATGAGATTGAAGTACTTGTCGGTATTTCTGACAGTGTGAATAAAGTAAGACTTTTTACACATTGCAAAGTACCACATACTTAAAGTCCAAGGCATCATCCGTGCAACAAGTAAAATAAATTTTTCAATGAGTACTTTAAATGCTGCAGATATATTGCCCATCTATTGAAATATTACCAAAAGCAATTGTCAACAGGTTTCTTTATCTAACTAACACTCAGCGAAATGAAGGCCACAAATTTATTTAATCAGATCCCAGTGCTTTGCATTTCTTCATTTAATATTCTGCTCATTGTGTTTGTGATTGTTCGAATTCCTCCTCCCCAAACTCAATAGCCATCAGAAACTGTGTCTCCAACTTGATGCCTGCACTCAACATACATGCTTTATACCATATCCCTAGTTTGGCAGCCACTGTCCTATTGCTTTTCACTCATAGGAAAGCCACAGAATGCTAGGACATCATGCTTCTGTTTTACAGTAAGAGTGAGGCTTAAAAATGTGATGTGGGCATTGGGAAGTGGACATTGCTGGAAATTGTCATGAAACAGTTGGGGTGGGAGTGAGGGAAAGCTAAAACAGTAGTTAGTAGATAAACAATTTCTGTCATCCACTTGTATGTCTTGAAACACAGCAGCCTGAATTAAATACAAGGTAGCAATAATCTCATCAGAGGCTTTTCCAGTGCTAGGTTTTGAGATTCTAATCTTCCTAGTTTGCACAGATGGATGATATATACCTGAACATGAGAAGAGGATAAAACCCTCAAAGCACCAACTGAAGTAAACAAAAGACAAGTCAGCAATCATTTTGAACTAAAGCTTGCACTATCCTCTGCAAAGATGAAAGTATTTCAACATCTCACTGGTGATACTTTTATTTTCTTAATGATGTGACTTTGGGCAGAGGTCTTTGTGATTTGTGGAATTTAAAATTAGTTAGGAGCAATTTTGTGCTTCATTATAACTTATGTGAAAGATCATAGTTACAGTAAGCCAGCACTAAACCTTGGGTTAGCAAAATAGTTTGAATGCATTTAGTTCATGAGCTGATTTGATCATTACTTTTGTGGTACAATTCTCTTTCATTTTGAAATACCTGTTTCAGAAACAATGTTATTCACGTAACATAGTGTTATTTCACAGAGCCCAACCACTCAGACACATCCAGGATGGGCATTTAATTTCAGCGTTTATCACTGCTTAGGGAGATTTTTTTGTCAGAATTATTCTCAAAGGAAGATACTTACATCCAATTGTTGCTATTAGGTATAAAATGCACATTATGCTTTTTTTTTCTGTGATTCTAAAGGATTGATTGGGTTGCATGTGTACAGATCTGCAAAATCTTCTTTCAGTGAAAAACGATAGATGGAGAACCCTTTGTGTTTACAGGTTGTCGAGAAGGTTCAAATACTTGTAACAGATGCCAATGATGAGTGCCCAGTGTTCATTAATACACCTTATATCATTAATGTCCCTGAGGTAAATTTCTTTTAAGAACGGTCTCTTATTAAATTAATTAATTAATTGGTGACTGACAAATATTCAATCCAAAGCTTCTGTTGACTAATGTGTTTTCTTGGATTGCGGTGTGCTAGGACACCCCTTCAGGGACCAGCATATTCAAGGTGTATGCAGTGGACAAAGACACTGGATCTGGAGGCAGCGTCACTTATTTTCTGCAGGTATTTGTTCTCTAATGCAGTATTATTTATTGTTGTTATGAAACTGCTTTCACTCTGTACACAAGAAATCAAGGAGGGAATGTGACTCTTTTTTACACATAAACACCACAATTTAACAGAATAGAGCAAAAGAGATCATGTTTCTGTTTCTGAAGTTACAATAATGTAACTTGACACCACTATCAATAATTGTGAGAATTCCAAAGGGCAGAGTATCCATCTAGACCGTGTAAACAATGGAATTCAGCAGGAAACAGAAAAACATCTAAACACATGTAAGGAAAACACTTTGGTAATTGTGGAACATGAGAAATACCTGAGTGGTTGATTTGGAATTTCCTGAAGGGCTCCAAGGTTTTGGGTTATTGATGAATCACTTTCCACATACCAGTCACTGGAAGATGTTGCAAGTTATTTTAACTTCTGCTAACAATGAAAAGTTGAGATCACCGATGACTTCTGTTGACCTCGTTGAAAAGTAAACTTAGTCGAGGTGAATAGGAGATGTCCAGCCAGATATTATTCATGTTACATTAAATGGAAGCTTTAAAATTGCCCCTTTGTTTATGTACAATTTTAAAAAATATGAATAGTGGATTTTAAACTGGAGCCTTGTCTTTATTTTTTGCAGAAAATGAATTCTTGCTAATAGTTTTTCACTGTTTAGATTCTCTTAGTTATTTTCCATCACTGACTTGATGCTCCTTCTGCGCATTCTCTTCCAGAATACGCGTAAGAACAAGTTTTCGATAGACCGATACAGTGGGGTCCTTCGCCTAAAATCAAGCGTAAATTTGGATTTTGAGAGGTCCACAGGCCACTTTGTTACTGTCACAGCCAAGGTAAACTGACATAGTGGGAGTCAGGTTGGAGGGACATCTTGAGAAAGCTTATGTCCAGAAGAAATGAAAATTTGGTTTCACTTTTATCTTAGGACGGAGGTGGAAAGTTGAGGGGAAAGCATCGAATTTGCTCTTCCTCAACCACTGTAACGATCAATGTTTTGGATATTCAGGACACTCCTCCCATGTTTTCTGGCACACCGTATTTTGGATTTGTATATGAAGATACCGAACCTGTGAGTAGTAATCTGTCAAGTACTCATTCATTACTGTGAGTGATTATCTGTACATTTGGCAGTCGGATGTGAGTTGAGATGGCTCATGTAAAGAATTCAAAGCCAAAGTGCAAAACAATGATCAGTTTCAGATGAAGAGCAAGTGAGAAGAATTTACCAATAACTACTTTTATGACTTGAGCAATTAGTGATAAATCTGAAATTCTCTTCTTCCCCCCAAAAAAGTTGAAGCTAGGACAAGTAAATGTGTAAAAAATACAAATAGATGATACTTGTTTGGCGACGGCATTAATCAACATGGTTAGATAGAGTCAAGTCACAAGTTTGCTGTGGTCTGATCGAGTGGTGGGATAATGTATGAGAGCTGATTGGCTCCATCCTCTTGTTTCGACACATTCTCCATGAGTCAGCACAAGCATCATTCACTCCATTCTCAGAGGCTGGCAAAAGGCAAAAAGCGAACAGAAATGAAATTTAAAATGAATAATCAAGATAGCGGTAATAAATAACCACTATTTATTCAAACATTTGTTTGTTAGAAATTAACACTTGAAGTAACACATATATCAAACTTTTTCTGACAACTGCTGTAGCCACTTTTAACATTTTCACACAGTTTCAAACACCCTTAAATAGAATTCCTTCATGTTACAGCACTATTGCAGCTGAATTGTAGTTTTACATGCTATAATATTAGTACAATTGTATATATGTATCCCAAAAGAAGATTGTTATTATTGCTACACCTTATCAATTTTTCTTGAATTAGTCTTTCACTTTCAGATGTAGCCCCTGTATAGTGGACAGATTTTGGATTAACATCTAAAACAAAAGCTAACAAACCATCTGGACTATATTGAGGTGTCAGCTTAGATTCTGTATGTAAGCCCCTAAGGTGGGACTTGAACAGAGAACCTTTTCACCAGTGTTACAATAGCCACTCTCGAGCTGGGGCTAGCATTCACACGATTGCTTTGGTTAAGCAGCAGATCAGAAAACTGGCAAATCAAACATGGTGCTGTTTTAAGTAGCTTAACTCCAAGAACTCCTAGAGTTCGCTTGTTGTGCTTGGTAAGACATTTGAAGTCGGGAAAAGTCACAAATTTTGAAAAGATTGGCACTTAGGATGATGCCATTGTTAGAGTTAAAGTGGTTTGAAGAATTGTTGGAGAATGCACGTAGGAGAATACACTGAAATATGATTAGATAATACCTGAAGGAGAATACACTGAAGTGTATGGAGGAAGAATATACTCTTGTACCTGTGAGTGTGTCATTGTTAAGAGGTGCCAAAAGGAGAATTGCATTTCCTGTGAAGGCTCTAAATGGGAGATTTTTACTGACACGCAAAAGATGTCACAAGTGGGCCAGAAGTGAACAGGAGCTTAACAATACTGTGGCTTTAAGAGGTGTATTTTGTCCTGGTTTTTTTTGAAAAAAGGTTTTAAGGCAGAGGTGTCGAGCAGTCTACAAGAACTACTAGAGTAAACAGCTTGTGAGGCCTTGAGTTCTTTTTTAAAAGTTGGAACAATAGAAGCAGCCTGAATGGGTGTGATCAAGCTCCCACAGAACCAGGATTTTTAGTTTCAGCTTTCAGCAATTGCTGTTGGAGATTTGAAGAAGTGTAAGATATTTTTTCCCTCCCTTGGCTACAACCAAAAGCTGGGGTTCTCTTCCTGCTACCGTTGCATGTGAGACAATCTGTTTTCTGAATTTGTCTGTTGTCAAGGGTGTGCTATGGGATGTTACTATATTGGAATAGTTAATTACTAATAGTCACTGTATCTACTATTCTGTTAAGTTTTTCCAACAAAATTAAGTTATTCTAATTTCTTCTTTCTTTGGTTGGATTTAACTATAACAGATGAATAAAGTGTGTTTTGCTTTAAATCCGGTAGTTTGACGAAGCGAATTGCATCTGAAATGCAACATCTTACATTTACATTGAACTTAAGAAAAAGTTAGGGTTTAGGCTATCTTTGGAATGCCCTGCCTGCAAAAGTAGTAGACTCGCCAACTTTAAGGGCATTTAAATGGTCATTGGATAAACATATGGATGATAATGGAATAATTTAGGTTAGATGGGCTTCAGATTAGTTTTGCAGGTCGGCGCAACATCGAGGGCAGAAGGGCCTGTATTGCGCTGTAATGTTCTATGTTCTATGTTCTATGAATGTTTTGAGGAGTTTGGTCTGGTCCATAGCAGAACTAAATTGAAGAAAATAATCAAAGTTTGCAGAAAAAAAAACCACACATCAATAATGTAAACCAAAAAATATTTTTCAGTTTTATACAGACCAGTCATTTTAACTTTCTTTTAGGGTTCAGAAATATTTAATGTGATCGCCTATGACGGAGACCGTGGGAACCCCAATCTAATCCATTACACTATTGCACATGGTAAGTATTATCATAAAATTCAGTAAATTAATAGAAGACTTCAGGAATCAGGCTAATGATTGTCCGTTTCATGCACATGCAAGGAGTGCAGTCTTATCACTGTGAAATGTAAAATACGCTTCCAGTCTCTATGTAAACCATTACAACATCCACATTACCATTTCCACACTTCACTGTACAGGCATCTTATATTACCTGTGTTTTCTCACAGCTTTGCAGCCATTTAGGGGAAATCAGTAGGCTCAGTTGGCTGGACAGCTGGCTTGTGATGCAAAGTGCTGCCAACAGTGTAGGTTCAATTTCCATGCCAGCTGAGGTGAACATCTTGGATTCTCCTCAACCTTCTCCCTGTGCCTGAGGTGTGGTGACCCTTAGGTTAAACCACCGCCTGTCATTTCTCTCTGGTAAGACTATTTTGACTTTATCTTTTCAGAGGCATTGTCTCTGTTTCACCAAAGGCCAGCTCTATTATTGCTGTTACTTTTTTTTTTTCCTTTATTCATTCACGGGCTGAGGGCGTCACTGGCCAGGCAGCATTTATTGCCCAGAGGGCAGTTCAGAGTCAACCACATTGCTGTGGGTCTGGAGTCACGTGTAGGCCAGACCAGGTAAGAATGGCAGTTTCCTTCCGTAAAGGGCATTAGTGAACCAGACAGGTTTTTTCCTGACAATTGACATTGAATTCATGGTCATCACTAGATTCTTAATTCAAGATATTTTTATTGAATTCAAATTCCACCATCTGCTGTGGCGGGATTCGAACCTGGGTGCCCAGAACATTGTCTGGGTCTCTGGATTAACAGTCCAGTGACAATACCACTAGGCCATTGCCTCCCATGCAGCTCTTATATTTCTAGCCGGCCTTCATACATCTGTGGTTCCCATTTACCATTACAATATAACTGAAAATTTAACCCTTAACTAATTGGAACTGGCTCAACCCTTTCAATATTAAGATTACAGATCAAAGTGATCTGTAACAGATGTTTGACTGCACACTGTGTGGGCCTATAGAGCCCCAAGCTTGAGAAATCTGGATGTTCAAACCCAGATAGCCCAGTCTTGTTGGCATTCTTTAAAATTGCTCATTTACCTTGTTTGAACTTCATGAGACTTGGGTATTTGAAAAGGGCTGTTCGGTGTGCTTTTTGCTTGCTGATATATAATTCCTAAGTCTCAGCAGCAAGTTCTGCAGTGATACCAAGCTGAGAATTTTCAAAATTAGCAGGAACCCAAATCTACATTTTAGCGATGAATTCAGTGAAATAGGCATAATATGTTGAAGAATTATGATTATTGTATTAGCTCTGTATCTTGTTGTTGTGCTCCCAGCTCATTGTTCCGCTCCAGAAAATTGTCATTGCTGCATTGACTCTTATAAAGAGCCAACTAATGCTCTATGATGCTGATGTAAGTGGCCATTGAAACCATATGCTTAGGCTGCTGATGGAATCTTAGTAATGAACTGTGCATTGGCTGGCATTCTACTCATTATAGTTGTGATGTTATTGGTTTTGAAATCTGACTTTCATTTAGCCTTACAAACAAGCAAGATTCTGTTTTTTTTTTAATTGGTACCAGATTAGACTGGAGCTGCCTCAGAGGAGGTCTTGAGCTGGTGAATAGTGAAGTTATTTTATGAGATACAAGGCATCATTTAAGTAGAGAATGTAGTATTGATAGTTCAGCAAGTGTTTAATAGATGCATGAAGCTCTGATTTCATCATTTCACAGCAGTATTATGGAGCAATAAAAACAACAGTCATTACATACATTCCCATGAAATTGTGACTAGCACTCAACGTCCAATGCAATGTGTGAAAGAAATATATTTTTCTTCTTCTTTTCTCTTTCTGATGTCACTGATCATTCTTTCTTCCATCCCTGCTTCCATATTTTGTATCTGACCCTTTAGCTTTGAAGTACGAGCTCAATTAGTCACACTCTTTGCCTCATTTCACAAGGTGCTGGGTTCAAGTCCCATTCCAGGGCTTGAGAATAAAACCCAAGGCTGATGCAGTATTGAGGGAGAATGGTATTAATGGAACTGCAGATTCAGTTAGCTCATTGGTTGGACAGTTGGTTTGCAGTGTATTCTGATGCTAACAGCACGGGTTCAATTCCTGCACTGGCTGAGGCTACTGTAAAGGATTCCCCTTCTCAACCTCTTCCCCTTGCCTGAGGCATGGTAATCCTTTGATTAAACCAGCATCAGTCACCTTTCTCTAACAAGAGAACAGCCCTATGGTCTAGTACTTTTGTTGGGAGTGATAGGCAAGATGTTGAGCTAAGTCCATGATAGCCTGTTTAGTTGAATGGAAACAATCCCATGGTTCCCATGAAAGCTTTATCCCTCAGTCAGCATCACAAAAACCGAATACCCGGTTGTTATTACATTGCTATTTGTGGCAGCTTACTGCGTACAAACTGGCTGCTGTACTTCATACAATACAACAATGACTACACATTCCAAGTACTTCATTGGCTGTAGAATACTTTGAAACATCATGATACTGCCAAATAATTGTAAAACTTAGTTTTGTCACAACCTAACTGTTGTAGGGCTTAGAATTGTGTAACATGGGACTATGGCGTGATCTTGAGATCTGGGCCTGGCCTTAATTAATAATTGTAAACACTTGATCGCTATGAACATCCACATCGGGGACTTGCATCAGCTCCCCACATCGTCAATCAGTCTCAAGGTTTGGGCACTATTTCCCTTCCCACTATCTTTCCCTCTTTCACACAGTGTCCAGTCAGAAAAAGAGAAATAAATGCATAGAATTTTGAAACAAGCAACTCCCTGCACATACGGTAGGTGGAGCAAACAGTGTACTTACTGCTGGAAGTGAGGTGTCCTTGATTGAATGGTGCACATGAAAGAGACAATCAGATTAAATTTCAATTTGTGTGACTAGATCAACAAAATAGGACTTGGAAAATACCAGTAGATTTCAATACTATTCACATCTATGAATAACTTTCAATTTATTAACAGGAAATGATGGATCTTTTGATATTAATAGCACAACTGGAGCTATTACACTTCTTCAAGCCACAGAGCTTCTTCAGAAGGACATTTATAAACTTCTAATTCAGGTGTGTCAATAAAATCTGGAAATAACCACAGCTATGTCATAGATACAAGGGTATGAATACTTAACGTGCTTGAAATATTTTGTGCCACTATTTTAACTAGAGATATTATGGCATAATCGAGCTGATTGCATGAGTGAGCAAATCCAACACAGGATCTGCTGTCCATTTAAGTTACAAAATTAGAAGTCACATGACACCAGGTTATAGTCCAACAGGTTTATTTGACACTTCACCTGACAAAGGAGCAGTGCTCCGAAAGCTTGTTATTTCAAATAAACCAGTTGGGCTATAACCTGGTGTTGTGTGCCTTCTGACTTTCCCCATCCCAGTCCAACACTGGCACCTCCAAATCATTTAAGTTACCAAAGGCAAAGATGCAGGAATTGCTCAATGTGGGACCCATGGTTTTCAGCAAGTTCTCCCTATACAGTGTGTCTGAATAATGACTGATTTATACACTGATACGAACAAATGTATTAAACATTTGCCTAATAATGTTCAAACTGTGCTACTTGAAGTTGTATAATGGTTTAACACTGAGTTCTCTGAAATTAAACTTGAATATAACTTAAGAAAATAACAAAATGTTTTGGTCTGTGGTCAGACCACAGTCCATTTTTGAAGAAATGTTGGGAAGGTGATTACAGGATAATTGAAGGATTTATGTGGGGTGTGGTAATGTCCCTACCTCTGAGCCAGGCATACAGTTTGAGTCCACCTATCCTAGAGGTGTGGCATAATATGTCCAAACTGGTTGATTAAAAATATAAGTTGTGTTAATTGCATAAAAATAAAACTAAAGTAACTCGGCAATACCAGTGGCTGACTTCTTGATAAAGAGAATGCAAAATTTTTTGATGATTCAATATGCTGTCCCATGGAACAATAAAACAAAGTACCATCCCTGTGATTCCCCAGCACCTGAAGTTTTAGACAGAGGTGTTAGACTTTCTCAGAGGGAGAGGAGCTAATGTAGTGAGTCAACTCCAATGTAGACGTTCCCTCATTCTGCTTTACTGGAATAGTGTTGGCTGAAGATTGAAGATTGAATCATAGAATCCCGACAGTGTGGAAGCAGGCCCTTCAGCCCAACAAGTCCACACCGAACCTCAGAGCATCCCACCCAGACCCATGCCCATCCCCATCCCCCTGTAACTCACCTAATCTACACATCCCTGAACACTATGGGCAATTTAGCATGGCCAGTCAATCTAACCTGCGCATCTTTGGACTGTGGGAGGAAACTGGAGCACCTGGAGGAAACCCACGCAGACACGGGGAGAACGTGCAAACTCCACACAAACAGTTGCCCGAGGCTGGAATCAAACCCGGGTCCCTGGCGCTGTGAGGCAGCAGCGCTAACCACTGTGCCACTGTGCTGCCCCTTAGCGCTCAGCTGCACCTGCTCTCAGCTGGAAGTAAAGATCAAGCGATATTGAGGAAAAAAGACCTGCATTTTCTGAAGAAGGGTCTAGGCCCGAAACGTCAGCCTTCCTGCTCCTCTGATGCTGCTTGGCCTGCTGTGTTCATCCAGCTCTACACCTTGTTATCTCTGCATTTATTTGGTGCCTTCCACAGCCTCAGGATGTCCCAAAGCATCTTAGACAATGAAGTGCTTTTTAAACAGCAGTTTCGATTATAGCGTAAGATACAGGGTAGATAATTTGCACACATCAATGTCCTACAAAGAGCAATCTGATAGTGAATAATCTATTGTTGTGAAATTGGCTAAGGGATAAATATTAACCAGGACACCAGGGAAGACTCCACTTCTCTTTGAAATAATTCCATGGGACGTTATAACTTAAGGGAATGGAACAGTGCCTTGTAATGTACATACATACTAATTAGAAGCAGGAGTAGGCTTTTTGGCTCCTTGATTGGCCTCCACCATTCAGTGAGATCATGACTGATTTGATTGTGGTCCCAGCCGTGTAGCCATCTCCAAAGGTCTACCAATAATTTACCTCCGACTTAAAAGCATTCAATAAATCTGCCCCCACTATCCTCTGTGGAAGATAGTTCCGATCACCATCTCCACCTTAAATGGAAGACCCCTGATTTTTACATTGCATCCTCTATTTCTAGTCTGTGCCACAGGGGAAACAACCTGTTCACACCCACCCAATCAAGACCTCTCAGGACCTTATATTTCTCAATAAGCCCACCAGTCGATTCTTCTAAACTTGGTACAGGCCTAGCTTCTCCAATCTTGCCTCAAAAGATAAATGTCCCTCATTCTAGGTATCAGTTAAGTGAATTTTCTCTGAACTGCCTCTAACACATTTATGTCCTTTAGTAATTAAGGAGACCAAAATTGTCACTGGACTCAAAACATGAATTCTGCTCTTTCAACAGATGCTGCCAGACCTGCTGAGTTTCTCCAGCACTTTCTGTCTTTGTTTCAGATCTCCATCATTTGCAGTTCTTTGTTTCATTCTTGCTTTTATATTCTATTCCCCTAGAAATAAACAACAATATTCTATTTGCCTGCCTAATCACATGCTGTTTGTGCAGACTAATTTAATGTGATTCATGCACCAAAGTTCCCAGATCTCCCTACATCTCATAGTTCTGCAATCTCTTTCTGTTGAAATAATATGTTGCTTTTCTATTCCTCCTGCCAAAGAGGACAAGTTCACATTTTCTGATATTATTCTCCATCTACTAAATTGTTGCTTTCTCACTTAATCATGTATTTTTCTGATTCCTTATATTCTTTTCACAACTTCACAATATGGGTTTTGGACTCCCAAGTGTCACATTTCTTTAGAGGAAAAAAAGACTGAATTCTCATTGAG